CATTTATCACCGGTGTTAAGTGGATGCCCGTGTCGGCCGTCTGTTCTCTGCACAGCTCTGTGTGTGGGTCACCACACCTGCATGTGTTATTAGGCTTACCTCTGCATCAGAAAACAGGTGATTTTCCTCAAGACGCTGAACTTTTGGCCACCTCTAAATTTGAAGTTCAAATGTAAATTAATCCCCACTTACAAATTCTGGTTTTTGTTGTTTTTGTTTTCTAGCGTTAAGTGTCTGGCACAGCCTAAGCATACATTCATTCATTCGTTTATTCATTCGGCAAGCACTGGTTGAGCAGCTCCTCTCTACAGAGTCCTGGTTTTGGTGCAGCGAGACGTATAAAACATGATTCCTGCTCCTGGGACTTTGTAACTCGTGATGAGGAGGACCTGACTATCAGCAGAGAGGAACAAGCACCCTGCTTTGGGAAACACAGCGAGGTTGACTCTGAGACGATAAGACCCAAGGCACTTGATGCATTTCCCAAAGAGTGGGGTCTCCCGGAACTCACACCCATTTATATCATTTCACCAGGGGTCGGTGTAGCAAGAGCAAAGACCAGGAGTTGAGAGGTAGAGTAGCTGGAGAGGAGGCTGGCGGTGGGTCCGGTGGGAGGCTGGTGTGGGCAAGTGAGGTTGGGGGAGACACCGCGTTATAAATATCAGGCGGGACATGTGTTTGGGGCCAGCTATGGAAAGAAGCAACTGCACAGCCACCTGTTTTTACTGAGCCTCTTCTCAGCTAGATTGCCAAGGAGGAGGTCGTGTAGGGGCCCCAGGACAAGCCTTCTCTCCTGAAACCTGCTCAGATTCACATTGTCGGGATATTATTTCCGCTTTATGTAAAACCCAAGCTTCTCTTGCTGAACTGCACATGCATGTGCTCTTGCCTTATCCTTAGGAGAGGTTAAAGACAGGAAGTCCCCTTCCTGCACATAACAGTCTTTCTGTCCTAAGATGAATCTCCAGCCACAGGGCTTTCGGAAGAGTGAAGGACTGGAGAGGTCCAAGAATTTTGTGGGGACCACAGGAGGCAGTTACAAGATATCACGGATGGAGTGTGGCAACTCTGAGGGCCCCTCTTCTACTCGGCTGATATGGAGGGGTTTCCTTGCTACACCATGTGCCGCCAGAACAATGAGGAGCAATGGTGTATGTGATGCACTGGTTCCCAGCCAGGGCAGGGCCACTGCCCGCCCGGGGGGTGTTTGGAAACGTGTGTGGATACGTGGCAGGGAAGAATTTAGGGTGAGGGAACCACGGATTCTAAGTATCCTGCTGGGTGTCAGCCAGTCCCTTAGAAGAAAAAAAAATTGTTCTGCCTCACTCATGATTCTTGAGTTTATTAGCTGACCTTGAGAATGGCAGACAGCCGTTATTAAAATGAGCTCATGTGTGAAATCTTACTGACCCACGGTACAGCCTATATCCACAGTACTCACGGAACAGATAGTTTTGTGTGACGTTTCAGACTGAAGGCCTTGGACATGACCTGAAGGCTTTCTACACAGGAAGTCTCAGACTGATGACCAGCCCCATGGCGGCACGTTGGGCAGACAGTTGACTGTGCTGAGCCAATGTTCTCTGCAGATAATACAGGCAATGACAGGGCCCAGGGTGTGCTGACTTCTGATTGGCCAACTGCGGGTCAGCGTCAGGCATGGGATTTACTTTGGCAGCCATAGCCGTCTGCCACAGCAGGTGTGTGGGATCTGAAAAGCACCTGTGGGGAACTGGTAGTGACATAACAGGTGACTCAGTTTTATTGCTTGATCATGCGCTGGGTGCTCTTGGAGCATGTGGACACTGAATCTCAGACACCTGCCTGGAGGACATTTCTTTTCCCAAGTGGAGGAGGGCCTGAGGAATCGTGTGCCTTTTGAAATGATGTAACTGCCCGTAAATCAGTATCTGGCCCTTCAACAGTTACAAACAGCAAGAGATTATCAGAGGCGGCAGAGCTTAGCAGATGCCTTTTCTACCTTGATCAGCTAGAGTCCTTATCGGCGGAAGTGGGTCATGCAGTTGACAGTCCATTTGGTATGTGAATCAGCATAACCTGTCATGGAAAATTACAGAACATGGGGAAGATATGCATTATATACCCACGTCTTTATCATCTTTTCATGTCTTTTAGCGCCTAGTAGGTGCCTTGCAGTATAGGGGAGCTGAGGAGATACCTCACCAAAGACTGTGTGTTTAAGTAGAATATTGTAGGTACGGGTAGACTTTCCAGTAAAAGGAGTTTCAGAGTGGAGAGGTCAAGTAGAGACCTGCTACATCTCAGATATGCAAAAGATGCAGCATAATTACTATAACTGACCTTGTGATGCACATCTGGGGGTGGGGAGTTGGGGGAGTACTTAAAGTTGCTACTCAGAGGGATGTTTAGGACTAAAGTACTAGAGAACCATCGCCTCTGAGAATTTCCCTTTCTGGTCAATAGGTGAGCCTACCATTCACATTTGGAAGGAGGAATGAGTGAAGACTGTAGTGCAAGTTGGCCTCTTCCCCACACTCTTACAGCCTACATGCCTTCCTTGCCACCCAGGGAACTGTGGTTCCCCACCCGTCACTGTTAATTTCACCATAAACTTAAGGAAGAGGAGGGGATACAGTGTCTGCCTCCTTAGTCAATCTCCCAGGGGTGGCCAGTGAAGTCTTATGAAGCACAATGGAACACTTTTGTTCTGACTTTTCCACTGGGTCTTAATTGCTGGGCCTCTCAAGGTGGGATTTGTTTGGGGTAATCCCCATGACCTTGATGCAAACGTGATTCAGAGTTCATATGTTTTTAAGAATGCAATAAATGTCTATCAGTAGTACTTCTTTCCAAAAAGCACCTAACTTATTTTCTGAATCAATAGTTGATGTTCAGTCATGTTCAGGTTTTCAAAAAGATTAACTCATCCTGATGCTGCATTAGTTGCAGATGGAGAATCAGTCTTTGACTTAGGATCCCCTATTGATGTTCTTTTTCCTCCCTCTGGTAACAAAACAGTGATGAAAGAGAAGAAAGTTTAAGTACAAAAGTTATTGCAGTAAAGAGATCAAAACAGTTCTTTTATGTAAATCCAAATTAGCATGTTTCATGTGACTATCAGAAGTTGGAATAACCATCCGCTATGAATGCAAACTCTGGAAAAAAGCCCAGTGACATATTTGTGCAGGTCAGTGGATGTTCTCAGACCCCAGGAACATTTCAGGAGAACAATCTCAGTAGAGCGATGGAAAGAGATGACAAGAGAGAAATAATAAATTGCATTGCAGGTAAATAATCATCTTCCCATTGGACAACCATGGCTGACCTTCATATCCAGCTATTCCCTTCGTGTCAAGGACTCAAATCACGGATGCCCAAATTTATGTTTCATGTAAAGGGACCAGGATTTCCTTTTATGTGGCTTCCCATTTATTTGTCTGGATGTGCTTAATCGGTGCACTCAGCAAAAATGGGGATGAGGAGGCCATGGAGGCTCCATTCCATCTCTACAACCCTCTTCCTCCTTGAAAGATCTTCATCCTTCCTACCACTGTCCAGACCATCTTTCATCATCGATGGGATGATCAGAAGGAAGGAAACTACACCAGGAGGTGAGGGGCGAGCTCCTAGGCAGAAAATGTAGAGGGCTTATTTACGTTTTAAAAGCAAACCCCATTGTATGTCAATGACAATGAAAAATACTTTAAACATTTTTTATATTAAAAAAAAAAGCAAACCCCAAAGCAAGCTTGGCTGCTTGCCCAAGGGATGGAAGGTATTGCACCTACCCCGGGGCTCCATTTTTCTTGGGACCCACTTTCTGAAGGAGGACAGAAGTCCAGGCTGCTCCGTGAGAGGAGGGAAGTAAGACACGGTTCACCTGCACACATGTCTGAAGTGAATACATCCTCTCACACCCCTCGGTAGACCCTGCTTCACCCTCCTGGAAACAACTGTATGTTATTTGGAAAGTTTCTTAATGTCTCAAGGACTCAGTTTATGCATCTGTAAAATGGGAACAACCATTGCGCTTATTTCTGAAGGGTATAATAAGGGCTAAAGCAAAAGCACAAAAAGTTCATAGGGCAGACCCCATCCTGTAAGAGATATCCCTTACTTAGATATTAATCCCAGCATCAATTTCTCAATTGATTGATGAAACTGAGGCCCGGAGAGATGAAGACTTTTGTCCAAGCGCTAATGTGTCAACCTGCATCTCTTCCCTCCACCCTGCAACCTGACTTGTCCTCTTGTATTAAAACATATAATAAAATATAATAAAGCTGGGTGGGTTTTAAAATAAATGTCCCAAGTCTAAAAATGCATGGATCTGTATCTTGAGACACAAAGAACTTCCGGTGAAAGATCGAAGTATTGCAACAAAGTCTCCTTTATTCCAAATTCTAGAGATTTACAGGGGGATTTGTTGAAATATACATATATATTTTAATGCTTTCCAAGATTTACATCAAAATCTATATTCATGCAACCTATGGCTAAAACAGTTTCTTCCCCTGAATTCTGTGTCTTATGAATTTTTAAGTATTCCGTCTGTTCAACTTGAGTGTCTAAGAAATCTTATCCTCTCTGGTTATACCACCATCCCTTTTTTAAGATCTTCATCTAAAGTTCTGTGTTCCAGCCATTTTGAAAGCAATTATTACAGTTGCTTTCCACCTAGAAACAAACTATACATCATGAAAAGAAAGTAACATTCATGGCTTCCAAGAGCAAATCTCCCAAAGGTGAGTTACTACGGTGTCGCTCTGGTAATATGGTGAATGGGGAGAACTATGAAGCCAGCAAACAAACCCTGCAAATTAAACTTGACAAGACCCTTCTTCGGGGCGCCTGGGTGGCTTAGTCGGTTAAGCGTCCGACTTTCGCTTAGGTCGTGATCTCGCGGTTCGTGGGTTCGAGCCCCGCGTCGGGCTCTGTGCTGACTGCCAGCTCGGAGCCTGGAGCCTGTTTCAGTCTGTGACTCCCTCTCTCTCTGACCCTCCCCTGCTCAGGCTGTCTCTCTCTCTCCTAGAAATAAATAAAACATTAAAAAAAAATAAAAAAAAAATAAAAGACCCTTCGTCTAGCACACTTTCCTCTTGCAATTGTTGGGTGATGTGGTACCTGAAGCCTCGTGGCTGTCTATGAGTAGCTCATGTTCTCCTTGTTGGGGGCTAACGTGCTGGAGGGGGTTGAGTGAGAGCTAAAAAGCCTCTTGGAGCCCAGCTCCAAAAACAGTCCAAAAGCCCACCTGGACTGGGATTAGTGTGAATCCTTTGAAACGTTGCTTGCTGTCCACTGCACCCTTCCGGGACACCATACTGCCCTTGCAGACCACAGCACGTCTCTGGAAACGTAATGCTGTCGTTTCCTGCATCTCCTCGGTGAGCCTTCTGGGCATCACTGGTGACCCTTTCCTCCCTTAGTCTGGTGCCTGTGTTTTTACCAGCAGCTGTATCCCACAAGGATGCATCCCAAGCACTAGAGAGTGTCACCTGCTTCAGCATCCTCACTCAGCACCCTGCAAATGGCGTGGCTGTCACCGCCCCACCGGCCACAGACTCCTCGTAGGAAGGTGGGGCCTCTGGGTGGACGTCAGGTGCATCCTCGATTTCAAGGCCCACCTCCATGTACACAGGTGGAGGAACATCCGAGGCCTTGCCCTCTGCTGGACGTGGCTGCTTCTCGGCGTCAAGACTCTCTTCGTACGCAGGAGGGTAGAAATCTGGCCTGGGGATCAAAGTGCCACAAACGTACATGTGTTATTTAAGTGGTTAATGCCAAAGAGGCATATGCCCGACTCTCTCAAATCACACTGTGTGAAGTGAAACTGTTAAGAAACATTGATTGTGAAACAGATGTACTTCTTCCCTGGCATCACCAGCTCTTTCAAAAATGTGCTGTTTTTTCCAGCAAAGCCCTCCTCACCAGCCATGGGATGTGTGCCTCTACCGTCATATTTTTCCCAGTGGTTCTTCCAAGCTATTTGCTCTCTCTTACTCATGGGAACCAGGGGCTTTCAGCCTGAGATTCTTATGGGGATGAGGTCAGGGGGTCTCAACGGTGGAACTACCCTCCACCCAGTTAATTTCGTTCATTATATCCTTTTTCCCCTTCACACATTCTTCCTTTCTTGTGTGGTTCCATTCACTGTCTCAGATCCTCAGAGCGAACAAAACGATGGATGAAAACCAATGTATAATCTTGTCAGATCGCCACGTTATACACCTGAAACTAACATAACACTGTGCGTCAACTGCATTCACATACAACATTGAAAAAAAAAAAACCCAGCTCTATGCAGTCTCCTCAACTCTGTCAGATGCTCCTCTCTTGCTTCTCTCTCTTTCAAGTCTCAGCAAACATGTTTCCAAAAAAACTTAGTCATTTCTCAAACTAGCTCATCCAACAACTTCACATAGATTTCACTTCCAGCCCTTTCTATGCCAGTAGGCCAATGGCGGAAGGAGCCATTCGCGCCAAAGGTGATGTATTCATTGGCCATCTTGCCCAACGTTGCTAATTGCTAAATCCTTCTGGCTTCTCCATCATGAATGGGACAGGGTGGGGGGTAGTGTGAGGTGAGGAAGAGAGAGGGTGAGTTTGGTTGAGTTGTGTATTTATAGAGCGAATTCCTCGGTGCCTACAGGGAGTGTTGTGGTAGGTAACCACAACAGAGCAGAGACTGCCATTTGTGGCCACAGCTCCATTCCAAATATTACCAGGCCCGGAGCCAGATAGCTGAAGGTGCTGTCTACTGTATGGCCTGAATCTCCGCCTTCACTCAGAATAGCCAAGGCACTGTCACAGGGCACACGCGTAAAGACACTGAAGACAAAAAGGTGAGCTTTTGCCTAGAGTAATTTGAGAGGCTTGAAGATCACTGTCACCTGCCCCCAAATCCCACCCACCCCTCCCAAGCCCATCCCCCCCACACCAGTTCACATTCTCGGCGCCCCACATTCCACCATTGCAGACTCATTTGCTCTGACGCTTCGGTGTGGGTTCCCAGTTTGGATACGTTCTTCTCAGAAATGCAACTCTTCCTTAACTGACTTACTGGCCATCGTGAGTAGGCTGGGTATCTATTCAATGCCACGGGAAGAGGCAGCTCAATGAAGTGTAACGCTATCCACATCATAGATCACTAAAATAATTCTGCTTGCTGTGGTGTTATGCATGTGTCAGTAAATTTAAGCTGCCCCCTGTAGGCAATCAGTTACTCTTATCAGGGCTTCACACTCTAGAGGCAATCATCTAACATGTACACAAGAAAAAAAGTCCTCACTCGAGAAGCATCCTCTAAGATCGCTTCAGTTACCTTAATCTTTTATCAAACCCAGAGACCTTGCTAGTTAGTATATTAAACATTAGAAATGGGGCTTGGTTATTATAGTTAGTTCTTATTAATTAGCCTGATAATGTCAAATATCAACCATCGTGGGTAAAATCACTTATATTCAAGATATATATGGGACACGTGGGTAGCTCAGTCGGTTAAGCGTCTGACTTCAGCCCAGTTTCATGAAGCGTCGGACTTCATGATCTCGCAGTTTGTGAGTGTGAGCTCTGCATCGGGCTCTGTGCTGACAGCTCAGAGCCTGGAGCCTGCTTTGGATTCTTTGTCTCCTCTCTCTGCCCCTCCCTTGCTGGTGTTCGGTCTCTGTCTCTGTCTCTCTCTCAAATATAAACCAACATTAAAAAAAAAGATACTGGGAGAAGGGAAAGTGGATGATGGGCACTTGTTGGGATGAACACTGAGTGTTGTACAGAAATCAATATGACAATTATATTAAAATTTTTAAAAGAATAAAAATAATAAATAATAAAAAGATACATGCAGTAGCTAAGACATTTTAGATGAAGAAGGCCAAATAATTTTTTTAAGGAGTCTTACAGCCTATGTCTTAAGGATGATACTTGAGGATTTATCCCTAAATGGTCCTGTGTTGGGCAAGAGTTACGAGGGTTTTGCTTGTCTGATACCTTCAGCTGAACTGCATTTTGTTTTACTGTGGCAACGTACATATAACCTGAAGTTTGCCGCTGTAGCCATTTTGTAGCCATTTTAAGTGTACCAATGAGTGAGTGGCATTCAGTACGGGCACCCTGCTAGACACCCATCTCCAGAACTTTCTCACCATCCCAAGTTGAAACTCTGTGCTCGGTAAACAGTAAGTACCCACTTCCCTCCTCCCCCACCGCCGCTCCTGGTAACCACTGTTGTACTTCCTGTCTGTGAACTTCACTGCTCTAGGCATCTCGTATAAGTGGAATCATACAGTGTTTGTCTTTCCTGTGTCTGGCTTCTTGTCCTTAGCATCATGTCTTCATGGTTCATCCACGCTGTAGCGTGTCAGAATTCCCTTCTCTTTGTGGCTAGTATTCCGCTGTGTGTGTAGACCATGCTTTGTTTATTTATTCATCCACTGATGGACATTTGGGTCATCTCCACCTTTTGGCTTCGTGACTAAGGCTGCTCTGAACACTGGTGTACAAATATCTGTTCAAGTTTCTGCTTTTAGTTCTCTTGTCTGTATACCCAGAGGTAGAATTTCTGGATCAAATGGTAATTCTATATATAGCCTCCATACCATTTTCCATAAAATGATTGCACCATTTTACATTCCCATCAACAGTGCACAAGGTTTTGGATTTTTGCATAGGCTTGCTAACACTTGTTTTTTTATTCTGTGTGTGTGTTTGCGTGTGTGTGTGTGTGTGTGTTGCATGTGTGTTTAAACAATAGCCGTCATAATGGGTGTGAGGTGGTAAGATTAACTGAATTACCTCTGGAATGTTATTATCTGACATTGAATAAATCTTTCATGCAAGGTGTGATCAGAACACCCAAAGGGACCATAAGCTGGGACCACACAGAGCTCATGAAGACGTAGCAGGACTAATTCTCTGCCTGTCTGTTCATTTGTTGTGTGGCAGAATTTGGTCTGGAACTTGCCTTCCTTATAACCCTTCCCTTGGTTATGGGAATAACTAACCACCCCCTGCCCCTAAGGACAGCTCCCATGATACATCAAAAGAAACTAAGTGTTGGGCTTCTTAAATCGGCTGAGGTGGTTCTTCCATGGGGGGGGGGAGGGGGGCTGTTTCTCTGATATAAATCCCCTGTACTTCCCAGATTTCCTCAAAGGCAGCGCCGTTCCTCCTAAGGACTAACCCCAGAGTAATTTCCCAACAAGAAAGCTTCAGTTCTACACATCCAGCCCAGCAGGACATGGATATCACTGCACTGTGGGATTAGGGTCATTCGACTTTTCCGGAACTCAGCCCCATTGCAGCCCTCCTCTGTCCCCTGGCTTCTCGGCACATACCTGTTGACGGTGGCCAGATGCAGTGCCCTGTGGTTAAGGTGTTGTCTGAGCACGTGGGTGAACACCCCTTTGCTTTCCCTTGCCTGGCGGTAGGTGCTCCAGAAAATTCCACTCAGAAGGATCACAAACCCCAGTGGCAGAAGCATATAGGCCAGGATCAGATTCCCTCGACAATTGAATATGGACCCTGAGGAAATGAAGAAGGCTCCCAGGCAGACCATCAGGAAGCCCGTCAGTAGGGCAAGGGCACAGAGGACTAGACCCGTTCTGTCCCGCATCCCTGCTCCTTGGTAGCCCTTCCACCCCCCTGCTTCCTTTGCTCAGAGAGAATGCTCTCATTAGCCAGCTCGAAGCTTTATATGCTCTGGGACCAACTGGCCTTTGGACAATTAAGTGAAGCAGGCACTTAGAAGCTATTCATTAACCATTGAAAGTAACCGTAATATCCTTGGAGGATTAACCTAAAAACGCAGCATTGTATAAGGCAGGAAGGAGTGGTTTCTCATCGCTGTCTTGCTCTTCTGAGCTGATCAGACCCCCAGCCAACCCCAGTTATTGGAGGGAAGGTCTCTCATCCTTTGATTACAAGAGCACTGGTCTCTTAACCCCCCTGGTGGATAATTCTCCACTAATGCTAGAGAAATTAGTATTCCTTGATGAACTATCTTCTTTGTGGTTTGGCCAGGGATCCTTCCCTGATTTCATCTTTCTCAGTACTGAAAAGACATTTTTAAAGCTCTTAACAAGTTCATCTTACCTCTCTCAATGAAAATCCCTTTACTGCCTTCACCCTGTGTTACTGGGAAAAATTCCAAGAGAAAAACCTTTGGGGGCAAACTCCCTGATTCCTTCTCTGTTGATAAGGAAATGAGCATCCGCAGGGGGAGAAAAAGGAATTCTGGAGAGGATTGTAATAGGCAGAGCTTTGGGAATTTGGGGGAATTTCTGGGGATGGGTAGAAAAGGTGACGATCTGGTGACTTCTCTGATTCTGGTTTTGTATCTTTCCCATTGTTGGACCCAAACGTCCAACAGATTCTAGGGTCATTGCTGGTAAACACGTAGGTGTTAGATAAAAATTTTTGCTTATTGCTCAACTGCTGGCAACCATGCTTGGCTTACCTTTCCCGGTCCTGCAAAAGGCCACAGGTATTTAATAAAAGAGGATTCCCTAAAATGTGTACATGTCTCTGCCGCCATACAAACAGATAAACACATGTGGGAAGCAGTGCCTTTTCAGTCCCCACCCTCCCTCACATACACCTTAGGGTTTCACAAAGGACACTAGCATATAAAACCTCTGAAAAGTCCTGCAATCTTATTTCCCCTCAGAAAATACATATGAAATGAAATTTGTTTTGCTAGAGGCCACAAAAAAAATGTTCTGTGTCCTCTCCCCTGTATCATTGCCCTAGGGAGCAGTGCCTCAAAAACTCTTTATAGAACAAGCCTTCCGTTTTCTGTCTGGAGTTTGTTTCTTCCATCTTGACTGTCTCTGGTTAGACACCCTATTCTAGATCTGATTCATGCTCTGATTCCTTCCTTTCTTATTTGATGTTTTGGCATGTCCCTGCCACGAGTGTCCTGCCCATGGGGACTCTGGGTCACTTTTGTGCAGAGAGATTATCTTCCGTCCCTCTCAGCAGCTCCTCTACCCAATTCCTCCATTACTCTTATTTTCCATTTACTTTCCTGATGGAATAACAGATTCTTCTTGCAGTGCCTCGTAATTCCACGCACATCTTTTAGCCTTATACCCACCATCTCATTAACTCTATCTCTTGTTACAGGCTAAAAGAGAAAGAGAGAGACCCTGACTCAAAAATGATATAACTCACTTCCCTATTCCACCTCTTAACCTCTACCATTTTTAGCTTTAACACTTGCCCTGATCTACCGTCTTCTTCTTCTAGTCTTGATAGTATCCTTGCAGTCTGAAAACAACCCTTTCTCCTTCCTTTCCCAATTGGTCTTGAGGTTTACAGATGTCCAGGATGGCCCCTGATGATCCCTGCCTTCTGATATCTGTGTCCCCTTGGGTGTGGACATATTGAGGGTAGGGTGGACACAGTGACTTGATTCTCACCAATAGAATATAGATGGTGGTCACTTCTGTGATTACGTTGCAAATGATTATAACATTGTCTTGCTAGCAGACTCTTTCTATTGTCCTCATACCCTTTGAAGAAGGAAGGTGCCCTATCGGAGACCCATACGATCAGGAACTGAGGGCAGCTTGGGGCTAACAGTCATGAAGAATGAGGACCTTAGTCCACCAGACGGTGAGACACTGCATCCTGCCAACAATCATGGGAACTTGAAATCAAATCCTTGCCCAGTTGAGCCTGGAGATGACTATAATCCTAAGCAACACCTTGTTTGAGAGACCTCGAAGCCAAGGACCCAGCTTTGTCATGCCCAGGTTCCTGCCCCACAGAAACTGTGAGATGACAGGTGTGTGTTGTTTTAAGCTGCTGAGTTTTGTGGCAATTGTTAGGCAGCAACAGTTCTTTGGGCCTTGGAAACCAAGGAACCAAAGGGGACGATCGGGGTTAAATGTTTCCATGGAATCTGGCACACACAGCTCTCCCTGTGAAGGTCAGCTGTAATCATGCTCACGTTACTCTTACTGGCATTAATACTGTAATTGTTGGTGGTGGTTTTTTGTTTATTTGGTGAGACATGGGGCAGGAAAGGGCTAGATCCAGGAGAAAGCAGGGGGATGAAAGGAGTCAGTTACTTTATCCAAAATAAAGAGCACGATCGTGGGCTCAGAATAGTTGAGTTTATCTGGGGTGAGGTGGAGCATCCAGAAGAAGGTACAGGAGGGTCTGTAGTTGATGAAGAACATAGATGAGAAAGAAAAAAAACATCAATATGGAAATAGGAAGCGTTGCTGAAGGAAACTTGTCTCCTTCCTGACGGTTGACACATCCTCACAAACGTTTATGTGGAAGTTATTTTGTCTATTCGTGTTTATTATTATCAAGGATATAAATTATTAAATAATTACACACACACACACACACACACACACACTACCGTGATTCTGCCTCAGCTCAGTTCTGAACCATATGCGTGACTGCCCTCTGAGCATTATTCTTTGATGCCTCAAAAATGATGGTTGTGATACAGCACAGACATTGAGAGAAACCAGTCTGGCCTTCATCAGTCTGGAAGACACAGGACCCCAAGCAGGGCAGTTGTGATGACAGAAGGGAAACACAGGCCGAATCCTCAGGGCCAGGAAAGAATTTTAAAAATCCAATGAAGAGCCAGTCCAACACCAGAACATGACCTTGAAGGTTTAGTTTCAGGAGACCGTTGAGCCTCTGGCCAGGCTTCCTTATGCTCTGCCTTACCTTCTAGGTCTGCTTTGAACACCCAGGCCTATGGTCCTGATCTTGACCACCTCACCAATCACCCAGCGCTGAGTGTGAGAATGAGGGGCCAAAAATAGCAACCATGTTTAAAGATGGAGAAACTAAGAGATTTCTGAGTCACCTAAGTTCATACAAACGGCTTGGGACTGATGGGAAAAAGAATCCACCAGAGAAATATGGACAGAGGCCCAGCTCCAATAGAGAAGTGTTCTGGGACCCAGTAGAAGTCAAGTCATAGTCTTCTTGACCCACGTTCCCTACAAGAGATCGATGTAGGGGGCGGCTGGGTGGCTCAGTCAGTTACATGTCTGACTCTTGATTTAGGCTCAAGTTATGATCTCACAGTCATGCGATCAAGCCGTGTCTGGCTCTATGATGAGCATGGAGCCTGCTTAAGATTTCTCTCTCTCTCTCTCTCTATCTCTGCCCCCTCTCACACTCACATGCTCTCTCTCAAAAAAAAAAAAAAGCCATCTAGAAAATGTCTCATTATTATAATTCTTCAAAATTCACTAATCAGCAAAAGCTCCTCACTTGACAATGGACAGTAACATGTTATTTGGTCGACAGCCAAACTATCTTAAAACATAATCACTCTTTCAACACTGTTCCTTTGAGCATGACTGAACATTGAAGGAGTGCTTCTGAACATTGAGTGCAGCTGAGTTCCAAGCACTGTTTTGCCTTCCACGTCAGGGCCCCCTGAACCCTCACCCTTCTTTCAGAATCTCCTGTGTAATATGCAAATTTTGTGGCACTTCTAACAGCCCTCTGCACTCCAGCATTTGCTTACTGGGCACATGGGCCAGTGCCCATCTCTTGAAAACAGGAAAATTGTATTGTTTTGGATGAAAAGCAAATGGGGACTTTGGAAGGAAGCTAGCTAAGGGTGTGTAAAAGCTGTTGCACAGGAGGGGTCAAGAGCTGGCGGAGAGTGGCCAGATTTCAGAAGGTCACTTTGGTTTAGGAAGTGAGGCTTTGTGGGAGGGGGGAAAGGTGAGTGTATGCGTAGCCAGCCATGTCAGCCCGGTCTGATTTCATGGTGGTGATTACTGAGTGATTTCTGGATTAGCCTTTCACACGTGCTGGTTCATTGAGCACGGGCCACTTCCTTCTCCTTCTTGTTTTCTTTGCTTTTGAACCTTTCCCCCCGCCTCTCTTCTTCCCCTCGCTCACTCAGGAAGATTTACATGGAGACATTTTGAGGTTGGCAGAGAACAAACAGCTTCTCAGAAAATGTGTGGCATCATGCAGTAAAGTGACATTAGACCAGGGTACAGGGCTCACGTTCACCTTGGGATGAACCTGGTGAGCCTGGAGGGCAGAGAACGCCCAGCAAGGTCAGGACTGGTGATCATGTAGAGTACAAAACTTCTGGGGTGCCAAAACACTTGGGAATCAAGATCAATCATATTTTTGAACGATGTCTTAAAAAATCAAACTGACAAACTGTGGCTTGTGCGCTGGCCACCTGTTTCCCTAAATGAAGTTTTGGTGAGGAAAGTGAGTCATATCTATGGACCAAGGAAGAAGACAAATTATGTTCTAGAAAGAGCTTAGCTACCAACTTAATCCAGAAATGAGCCAGAAAAGATTTAATTTCTGTGTGGTTCTGTGGAAAACTGAAAAGAGACCCTACTTCTCTGGCCACTTTGGATCAGAGCAGAAGGCAAAAGCTGGGCAGAATTTGATGGCCCGCTTTTACACCAATTGGCATGATGGTCAGTTACTTGTAGATATAATGTGGGTTCTGTGACCCACCTTAGGAAATTCTCTTTCATATTGATCTTCTCTTGAATTTTTTTAACGTTTATTTATTTTTGAGACAGAGAGAAGACACTGAGTGTGAGTGGGGGAGGGGCAGAGAGAGAGGGAGACACAGAATCCAAAGCAGGC